GAGAGAGAGAGAAAGAATCGTCGCGATTTATAGCGAAGTAAAATTTTGCAAGAATCCCCGTTGTATCATTACTAGTATCTATACCAGTAGCGTAGTCTTACAAATCTACGTCTTAGTCTATCGACACGATGTACGTATGCGTCACGCGACTCGGAGGAACAATGTTGTTTAAATTAATGGAATGTAATAATCGAATATAATGTAATGGATTTCGTGAAGATCTTACACACCTCGATATTCTCGAGCATAAAAAGACGAGGCGCGTCTCGGAGAACGAGTGCCATCAATTAGATGCACGAGATGTTCAAGAGAGAAGAATCTAGTGTTAATACGCCTGAGATTCCGCCGAAACGAAAAAAGGAAAAAAAAGATACGAAAACATTGAAATTCCTTGATGCTATTTTTATAATGTAACGACGATATAGCGATGACTCGTATCGGGCACTCTTTCTCCACATTCGCGAACGCGTCGAGTAAACGCGATGTAGAGCACAAAAAGAATAATTTTCTTTTTCTTCATTATTCTGGAGGAGATAAGTTTGAAGTCAGACAGAATCGGACTGGAAAGACGTAGAGAAGATTCTTAGGTGTACAAAATACTCTTATCACATTCTATAGTCTTATCAACATAAATCACTTGACTTTGAAATTTATTTTACGATCACATTATTTAAGATCCTTCAACAATTGTTTCAAGTATTTCTTTTCAATTGAAACGATATCCATCAAATGATAGATTTATCTTTCTCGTCCGATTTCAAGAGATTGATAAAAAAATTTATATTTCATTGCCTAGCATGACATTGTTATATTGAATGTTTAGATGTTTAGAGTATTTTCTCCCGTCTGCTCAATTTCCCAGGATGCTAATGTCCCCAGACATCTAGTGTCCCTTTCTTCCTTCTTTTGCCTCTCCTTTCTTTTTTATGCTACATCTAGCAGCCATTCCATCAGGAATATTTGTGATAAACTGTGACCTATGCAAATGCAGGTTATCGAAGCGCATTAAGTTACTCGCAGTTTTTCAGAAATATAATTCGCGTTTTAAGAGTCATCCGAAGATGGAAGCGTATGAAAAATATTGCCATTGACCATGGTGTTTTTTATAATTCACCGATTGTGTTTGTTAAAATTATTATTATTATTATTGATATTAAAAATATAAGTGTACTACAGTTTAAATATATCTATTTTATATTAAATGATAATGAATTTTTAATTCAATTATTTTTAATTCATTTATATTGAAGATTTTTAGCTTTATTAAATAAGACGTACAAGATTTCGTATATATTGTTATCCTATCTATAAATAGAATATTACTCTTTGTTATAACGTATGTATCATACTTTCTATATGTATATCACATTTTACCATGCGTTACGTGATACTATCTTACAAAAAGGAATAAGGCATTTTGGACGGAATTAATATAACGTCACAAAATTCGACGATATTAGCAATTCACCCTATTATCCTTTCCCCATTTGCGCATAACACGTATTATTTGTTCTACTTGAGAATTGGATGTATTTTTGAGAAGCTGTATTATTTCCGACAGCAGTTCTCTATGTGATGAAAAAGATAATTTATAAATAAATTTTTGATTATACAATGATTTCTTTGAACAGTTGTTATACACAATGTACATACTTTGGTAGCTTTTCCGCGATGATATACTGAAAAGTACCACAGCATGCACCGCGCTTTCCTTCCCAATGTTCAGGGCTCGGATCTATGCGTTCCAGCATGTCGAAGGCTTTAGCAGCGTACCAGAATTCACCGACTTTGTAACATGCATTGGCGATCAACTGAAGCAAATTAAAAGATTCTGCCGATGTGTCCATTTTCAAGTACAATTCCCAGGCCAGTTCAGCCTTTTTATTCATTATATCTGAAAACAAGAAAAGTGAGTATTAAATAACTACATAATCTGATAAAAAATTACAAAACATTATTTACAGCAATATGATAGAAGACTGATGTAAATATAATCATTTTTATATTTTTCATTGCGTATTGTCAGAAAAGCTTCTTCTGCTTCTTTGAAGTAGCCCGCACCGGCTTGCGCTTGGGCATAGTTGAAATTGAAATTATCCTGATTGGAGAAATATGTTTTTATCGAATTCAAATATAATCTGACTCGCTCGAATTGCCGATAAAGGAAGAAGAAGGAAGCCATGCATTGTCTACCAGGTATGGTATCGCATTCGGATGCTGAAGAGCCCACCAGTTGAAAGTATTGCTCTGCAGTTTTTATACTGTCGCGCTAAAATTTTTCCAATAAGCTTCTATAACGCAATTACGCAAAGGAAATTAACAATGACTTAATAACGTACAGAATTGGTTTCCTGACCCATAACGGCATTAACTATGCCCTTTAAGATGTATTCCTGCGGGACTGCTGGTTCAAGATCTTTAATCAGCTCATAAGCTGCCTTAACATCGTCTTGTTTCAAATAATATATCACTAAATTAAGTCTGGCTTCTGGGATGACGTCCACCAAGTTGGGTAAGATTTGTAAAGCGTTTTCGCCACCTCTAAAGACCTGTACGAGGAATAAGTAAGAGTATGAAAAGTAAAATATACTGGAGAAAAATTACACGTACAACTGTGTTATGACGTATAAGATCGTGGCCAGAACTGAAGGAACTTGATATCTTTTCAATGAGCTGCTTCATTTCGACCTGCGCGGCATTCCCGTCGTATAGACGGAAATGATTACACGCTTTCAGATTAATCGCGATCGCGCTATCCGGATACTTCTGCAGGTAAACTTGAAGCACTTCTTGAGCTACGTCATAATAATCTAGCTTATAATAGCATAAAGCTACATATACATTTAAAGCTAGATAATCTCTGAAAAGATTTATAAAATTTAAACGTTTAATTTAAACGAAAACTATTCATGTTATTAAACGAATGATAAGCTGACAGAAATGGATCTGTTCGAAAGGGAAAGGAGCAAAAGGACAGGTACCTGGAATTTTCCTGTAGTTGGGTCAGAAAATACAACTCGGAATCTGCTCTGGAGTCGCATTTTTTAGTTTTCTTTGAGCTTGCATAAATATATGAAAGTGCAAAATAAAGACAAGATGGCAAAAAAAATGTATTCAAGGCTTTTTTTATCACTGCACTGTAAATGCAGATGCTGAACTAATATAGGTAGAACGTGTTATTCCAAGAATTATATGATTATGTCAATTAGGATTTATTAGTGATTATTAAAAAATTATCTCTTAGTCTCAATTTAATAACTGAAGTGTCAAGTTTGCTAATTTTTATTGACAAATAAATTTTAAAAACAGAACTTTATTTATATGGCTAATACAATTATTTTATTTTAAATGCAATAAATATATATCAATTCAGCAGTAATAACTGAGATCTATTCTTTCTAAAGGATAAATTTCAGTTAATAGATTTCAGATATCCTAAATCTTTTGTCCAATGATATCAAGGAAATATTCCAACCTGTTATCTAATAAAATTCTTTTATAAACATCAATAGCTTCTTGATAATGAGCCTGCAAGTAATGGATAGCTGCTAGACTGAGCTGATCCTCAATAACATCCTGCAGCATCTGATGATATTCCATTAATTTTGATTCATTGCCCATTTTGTGAGCCAGATGAAATAATAATCTGGTTCGCAGCTTGCTGTCTTTTGCTTCTTCCAAGATCTTCTGTGACTCAGGATACATGCCCAGGTAAAAGTAGCAGCATGCCAAATTTGTCGGAACATCAGGCGGTACGTAATCCTTTTTCCTCAAGTTTTCATAGATTGTCGCCGCGCGCTTGTAGTCACCTAAATGAAATGCACAATATCCCATCCATAGGTCTGTCTCCAGGCTGCCACCAGTGGTGTTGTTGAATTCCAACAGTGTCAGGGCACCGGTATAGTCTCGTTTTTCCAGGAATTCTTCTAATTTCGGAATCTCCTTGCGTGACGCCGATTTTCGAACGCCTCCGAGGATGCCGGCTTGGCCCTCGACAAGATCTATCACAAAAATGACAAAGCATGATGTTTCTTGCAGGATGTCAATAATTCTTGATAAATATTCACAATAGAGTCGATGAAATTATACAGAAATGAAAATACTGTTTACCATTTTCCTGTCGCTGGGTGGACGCGAGCGACTGTATCGATTATTTCACCAGGCGCGTTGGCAAGCGGCTCTAAGTCATAACAAACGGCAGATGCCTTGATCATGCCTGATCGTGCGTTAAAAGTCGCGCAGCGACCACCGTGAGCAGGATGTTCGTAGTCAAGATTAAGCAGTGTAAATGACATGATCAAAAAATTCTGTTACTCGAGGATATCGAGCGAAATAATTTGTAGAATCGACTTGCATCTGTCACAGACGTTTGTTTTCCCAGATACCCGTAATGCATTGCGAGCGGCGCAGTAACTTTAAATGTTTGAAAATTTCTCAAAATTTGCAGACCTTTTATTTCTTTTTAAATTTAAAATTTTTAATTTTTTTGTTTTAAATAAGTGAGTATATGTCAAAAAGAGTATATGTTATATCAAATACAACATTTTCTATCAACATTTTCTATCTTTTGCAATTGATGGAAAGAGAGAAAGATGATATTTTAAACAGCTCAAACTGGTTGTATGAAAAATTGTATTACATTGTGTATTAGACGCAAATAATCTAATTTTATTCTTTAGTCATTCCTTTTTTTTTAAATTTATCTAAAAAATGTTTCCGAAAAGAACAAATAGCTATTAAAAAGGAAACAGAAACAGTGTCTGCAAGAGAATAAGTAAATGCACAAAATGAATTTCAGTTAAAAATCGGTAGTTTTACATTAATGTACATTATTTTATTAATTTTATTAAGTTATTTAAAAAG